GCCATCAATCCCGCCCCCCTCAAAGCCCGCCGGAGGCCACACACACACACACACCGCCCCCCAGGGGTTCATAGGGACATGCTCGTGAGGTTCTCGTGGCTGAGGATGCCTTTGCGGGAGCTGCTGACTCCGTGGCTGCTGCTGCAGTAGTCCTGGAGGTTGTGGCGCAGCGTGACGAGGGCCGAGCCGAGGCAGGCCCGGTTGGGGGCCTGCGGCCCCCCCGGCAGCTGGAAGAGGACGGTGGCCACCCCGGCCATGCCGTCGTCCGTGGGCTCCAAGGTGATGGGCCCCACGCGGAAGCTGGAGTAGGAGTAGCCCATGAGGTGGGAGAGGAAGGGCTCCGAGCGGCGGAAGTGGGCGACCGGGTAGGGCACTTCGTGGTAAGGTTTCAGGCGGCTGGGCAGGGGCTGGGCGGCGGCCAGTGCCGGGTGCTTGTGGGGGCGGGCGGGCAAGAAGATCAGCTCGGCGGCCGCCCCCAGGGCGTCGGGCTCGAAGTAAATGGTGACCTTGGCGAAGGGCCGGCTGGCCATCTTGGTCATCTCCTGCAGGTGGCGCCGTTGCTCGTGCCGCAGGTCCAGGAACTGCTTGACCTTCCAGAGGAGGACGCAGACCGAGAGGAAGAGGAAGAAGCAGGAGAAGAAGACGGAGAAGAAGACAAAGAGGTCGATGTGGGCCTGGTCCTGCCGGAAGGACAGCAGGCCCTGGGACTCCGTGAAGTTAGGGCTGGCCCCGTCGATCCCCAGCAGGACGATGTAGAACCGGCTGGATTTGAGGGCGTGGATCTCGTGGGGGTAGGTGATGACGACCCGGTCCCGGACGCCCCGGACGATCAGCACGGAGTGCTGCGCCCGCACGGTGATGTACGTGATGAGGCCGTGGGTGCGCTTCTCTTTCACGGGCGGGGAAGCCTGGCTCCCGTTGCTGGCCCCGCTGCGCCCGCCCGCCTCATCGGCCGGCGACACCACCCGCATGGCGTGCGTGCCCGTGAGCGGGTCCACGTCCACGACGAACGTCTCGTAGGACGTGGAGATGTAGACGTCCACGCCGCCGAACGTCACGTCGATGGTGATGCGGATGTCCACGTTGGTGAACTTGGGCTGGACGCCGAAGAAGACGGTGCGGCCGAGCGGCAGGTTCTTGATGTTGGGCTCGTGGAAGCAGTTGGCTTGGGAGGTGGGGTCGAAGCAGCTCTCCTGGTCCACGATGATAAGCCGGTAGCATTGGTGCCCGCCGACCGGGTTCCCGTGGAAGAACTCGCGGCATTTGGCGCACTGTATTGGGGGAGGGGGAGACAGCAGGGGAAAGAGGGTTAGTTTCAGGGTGCCTTAAGCTGGGTTCTGGAGAGACAATCTCAGCCCTCTGTTCTTCCCACTCAAGGATCAGATTAAGTAACGGGGCTTTATAAAGGATGCGAATTAAGCCCCTTTGCATAATGTCTCTCATTCTGCAACGTTTTATCCTTGGGCTCTGCGTTATTGCTCTGCCCGTCCCAGGGAAGAGAAAGCAAGAGTTGTTCCCTCTAAGCTTAGTGTGAGCTAGCTCACAGTTTTCGAGCCTCCGGCTCACACATTTTGGTCTCCACTCAGGAAGGATGACTCCAGAGCAAACTAACCTATGCAGTAGCCAAATCGCCCGCTCACAGCTTTAATGCCAGTCGATCACAAAGTAGATGGCCACGCCCAGCAGGAACTGCTCCGCAGCTTAGAGGGAGCACTGGTTGTGCCCTCTGGGAGTCGGGCTCAGTATCCCTTGCCTGAGATTTCACCAGGCATCACACACAAAAATTCAGCTTTGCAACCGTCTCTTTTTAAAAACGGATATAAAAGCGATTTTTAAAAACTTAATCATGACATATATACGGCTGCCACAGCTATACGGGGAAAAAGACATTTGTGATAGCAATATATATATATATAAATGTCGAGATCTGTATTACGATCTCATCTCATAAAATTAATTGTAAAAAGTTCTCAAGATATGCAAAAAAAAAACCAAACCCACCCCTCCAACTGTTGGCTTCTTCCACAGAGAACCATATCCCCTTTATTCAGTCACTAGAAATAAGGCCCGTTGTGGAAATAAATACAACGGGATCTAGAAAGAGGCTCAGGGAGAGTGCTCTGGCTTTGGGCAAACAGTGTCAGTCTGCTTTTAAAACATGAATCTGGGACCTGCACACCACCAGAATACAGCAGGTTCCATATGCAACTGACATTCCAACTGCCTTGCGGGGGGGGGGAGTTTGAGGTGTGGAATGGAGTGAAGTCCAATCAGCTTCCATATGCAAAAGACCAGGTTGTCGCAGCAGTTGTGGTGTGGGCGGGACCCGGGCTTTGCCTTCTGATTGGTGGCGATATATGCTGAGGAGCAGTGCCATCAGCCATACACTAAGGGAGTGCATTTTAGAATTAGAACTTTGGCACCCACTATTCAATTATATATAAGGAGAGATTCCAGCACTACCAAGAAGTACAGGCAGCCCCAGATCAACCCATGGAGCTCTTCATACACAATTCATACACAAAGTAAAGGTAAAGGTTCCCTTGCTCGAAAGCCAGTCGAGTCCGACTCTAGGGTTGCGGTGCTCATCTCCGTTTCCAAGCTGAAGAGCCAGCGCTGTCCGAAGACGTTTCCGTGGTCATGTGGCCGGCGTGACTAAACACCAAGGTGCACGGAACGCTGTTCCCTTCCCACCGAAGTGGTCCCTATTTATCTACTTGCAATCTCTTGCTTTCGAACTGCTAGGTTGGCAGGAGCTGGAACTAGAGACGGGACCTCACTCCATCATGTGGCACACTCGGGTCTCGAACTGCTGAACTACCGACCTTCCACAGCCTGCAGTTCAGGGTCTTAACCACTTGAGCCACCGCAGCTCAAAACATACACAAAACATCCAAGTAAAGTAATACGTGGCTCAAGTAGTGGGGTTAAGCTGGTCATTTGGACTCGATGAATCTCAGAAAAAAAAAAAGGGGGGGATACAAACTAAAATAAATATTGTGCTTTGCAAACATGAGTACTGGGATAGGGATGCCAGCCTCCAGGCGGCGCCTGGGTCCCAGAATTCCAGCTCGTCTCCAGACTACAGAGATCAGCTCCCCCTGGAGGAAACGGATGCTTTGGAGGGTGGGCTCTGCGGCACTGCGCCCCACTGAGGTCCCTATCCTCCCCAGGCTCCACCCCCAAATCTCCAGGAGTTTCCCAACCTGGAGCTGGCAACCCTCCCCTACCCAACCCTCACCGGTGGCCAGGGGGGACCGGGGAACCCTAACTGGCGAAGTAGTCCCACCGTGGATGAAAGAAGCTGGCTTTTGGCTGGGTGCGTCTCCAATGCTCCTCTTTTCTCATTTGGAGGGGGAAAAAATGCCAAAATGTAAGGTGTCTGATAACAAATTGTACAATAACTTGAAATGGATTTGCCTTGAAGCCAGGTGGAGGTTTGGATTCTTGCAGGGGAGAATCCTTGGAGTGCAGAACTCCCACCTGCCTCAAGCAAGAACAGCCGTCTAGAGCAGCCTCTCCCAGCCTCCGGGTCGGGACCCCAAAGTGGGTCTCAAAGCCTCTAAAAGTGGGTCACAGACTAACCCTCCCTAACGGCTGCTCCCTGCCCTTCCCACTGCTCTCTTTTCCATTTTGGAAACCGAGATCCAGCCCTGGAAGCAGTAACTTCCACGGCACACATTAGTTGGTATCTGTCCTTCGCCGCATAGACGTGCGGATCTTCTACCATATACTATTCTACCATATACATATATACTATATACTACCATATACATACTTTTGGGGTAAAAACAAAGTCCCAAAAAGAACTGGGGATCTGAGGTCTTAACTGCCTTCCCTCCAACTCCCATGTAGACTATTCCCTAATGTGAATTTCAGTGTTCAAAAAGCTGTAAATTCTAGAAAACCAGCCTGTCTGGTTCTTCCCAGAGAGTTCAGACACAGCAAAAGCTAGTTTGGTGTGGTGGTTGGGAGTGTGGACTCTAATCTGAGAGAACTGGGTTTGATTCCCCACTCCTCCTCCACATGCAGCTGCAGGAGTGACCTTGGGTCAGTCACAAGTTCTGCCAGAGCTGTTCTCTCAACAGCAGTCCTCGGGAGAGCTCTCTCGGCCCCACCTCCCTCACAGGGTGTCTGTTGTGGGGAAGGGAAGGGAAAGGAGATTGTGAGCCGCTCTGAAACTCTGAAGGGCAGAGTATAAGTCTCCTCCTCCTCCTCCTCTTCTGATCTTGCTGGATTTTCCCGTTTTCCCATTCCTAGATGCTTGCTCATTCTAGGACGTCCCACCCTCCTCCTTGGTACGCCCCAGCATCAGTGTTCCTTCTAAGATGAGTGAGTGTGAGCTAGCTCACCGGTTTTTAGCCTCCGGCACACACATTTTTGTCTTCGCCCAGGAAGGAGGGCTCCAGAGCAAACTAATCTATGCAGCAGCCAAATCGCTCACTCACAACTTCAATGCCGGTAGCTCACAGAGTAGAATTTTGGCTCACCAGGCTCCACAGTTTAGAGGGAGCACTGCCCAGCATTCAGCTCTGCCAAGCCCCACCCCTCCTGCACCCCGAGCCCCACCCACCTACCTGGTATTTGTAACAGTCCTTCTTGTCGGACTGGGCGCTGTTCTGGCACGGCCCGGTCTCCGTGTTGTTCTGGCAGGGGCAGTTCGTCCCGTCGAGTTCGTTGCAGTAGTCGGCGTGGCCGTTGCACTGGCATCTTTGGGGAGGGAGGGAGGGAGAGGGGTCAAGCGTGAGGCATCCTCAGCTCCCAGGCCAGGCTGGAGGATCGCACGAAGAGGGTGGGGGGGGGGCTGAAGTAAGGACGGCACTCTTGCAGGGAAAACCAAAGGAGGCTCTTGGCAACGGCATAACCCTGGGCCATGAAGCGCACGGTGGGATCCAGTGTTCCCTCTAAGCTGAGTTAGTGTGAGCTAGCTCACAGCTTTTTAGCCTCCGGCTCACACATTTTTGTCTCGGCTCAGGAAGGGACGGCTCTGGAGCAAACTAATTGACGCAGCAGCCCAATCGCTCCCTCACAACTTTTAATGTCAGTCAGCTCACAAAGTAGAATTTTTGCTCACCGGACTCCACAGCTTAGAGGGAGCATCGGTGGGATCCACCTTGGGCGGGAAGGATTCTTGCAGGGGAGAATCCTTGGAGTACAGAACTCCCCACTGCCTCAAACAAGAATAGCCGTCTAGAACAGCCTCTCCCAGCCTCTGGGTCGGGACCCCAAAGTGGGTCTCAAAGTCTCTAAAAGTGGGTCACAGACTAACCCTCCCTAACGGCTGCTCCCTGCCCTTCCCACTGCTCTCTTTTCCATTTTGGAAACCGAGATCCAGCCCTGGAAGCAGTAACTTCCACGGCACACATTAGTTGGTATCTGTCCTTCGCCGCATAGACGTGCGGATCGAGTGAGACATGTCCTGACGGTTACTAGAGCGAGTTTCTGACAGCGCCTTAGGTGGGGCTCGAAGGAGTGATGGAGGAGGAGAGGGAGGTCAGGGTCTGGAAAGTCACCCCCATAAGCAAAGGCTGCGTACGTGGCAAGGCTGCTTGCTTGGGGTTCATTGCGGGGGCAGCTGTACCCGTTGTGTGACCTTTGTTGGGAAGCCCCTATAGAACTGCCGAACTAGATGGCGCCGAGGTCACATTTTGCCAAGGGTGCCAAAAAAGCCTTGGGCCAGCCCTGGAGGGGTCCCCATACCCCATAAATTTGGACTTGCGGGCAATGCTCCCTCTAAGCTGTGGAGTCTTGTGAGCAAAAATTCTACTTTGTGAGCCACTGGCATTAAAGTTGTGAGTGGGGCGATTTGGTTACTGCATCAATCAGTTTGCCCTGGAGCCCTCCTTCCCGAGCGAAGACAAAAATGTATGAGCCGGAGGCTAAAAAACTGTGAGCTGGCTCACACTAACTCAGCTTAGAGGGAACACTGCTTGTGGGTCACCCTCCTGGAAAGGTTGGGAACCGCTGGTCTAGAGGAGGCCAAGAGAGACAGGGTGCCCTCTAATAATTTTTTTTTAAATTTATACTTAAGTTTTTTATTGAGTATATCTATCAGTCCACAAACACACATTCATTATCCATCTTATTGATATACTCATTTTCCATTTTTAACCATCATAATAACCAAACAAAATTTTTAAAAAATTCACCTGAGGTTACTATTCCAACAGCCTGAAGGAATTTCCCAGCCTGGACCTGGCAACCCTACCCTTCCATCCCCCACTGACGGCCAGGAGGGACCTGCCAACTCTTAAGTTGTGCGATGCTGCTCACCTTTAAAAGCCTAATTGTGGCAAAGAGACCACGTAGCTCTGAAGTTCGTGATCATTTCAGGTAATAATTTAAAGAATTGTGTTTGCATCACAGGATGTACCAGAGAGGTACTTTTTAGTTCGGGGGTGTCAAACATGTGGCCCGGGGGCCAAATCAGGCCCCCGTAGGGCTTCTATCAGGCCGGCAGTGGAACTGGCTGTCTTCTGCTTCTTCTTCCAGTTCTACTGCTACTGCTGCGTCATCGTAGGTTTTCAGCTTACAGATACACACCTGAACAGCCATACTCGAGATCGCAACAGCACAGACATTTGGATGCAATAATTCAAAACAAGAGGTGTCAGTTATCAGACATTGTTAAATAAACAAAATATTGCAAGAGTGCTATAGTTTTAAGTATTTTTTTAAGTTAAAAAAACCCCTTTGTGTTTGTGTCCTTTATAAAGTTTATATCTCCGCTCCCTGGCATTACATTTTATGACACACGTGGCCCGGCCCGACAAGGTCTCCTTTATGTCAGGTCCGGCCCTCCTAACAAATGAGTTCGACACCCCTGCATTAAAGACAAAATCTGTGGCACAGCAGTAGTTTTCGTGAGTCACTTGTCACTCCTCCAGACTGTACCTGAAGAAGTGAGCAGTGACTCCCAAAAGCTCCTCCCCTCCCACAAATTGTGCTAGCCTTTCAGGTGGCTCCTGGACGCTGGCTCTTTTGTGCTGCTGCAGACAGACTAACACGGCTACCCGTCTTAACAAACAAATGAACAGAATACAGCCCTCTCTTCCGGGGGGGGGGAGCAGTTTCTCTTTCCGTCTTGCAAAAGTCTTACTTGGTACATTTCCCCTCCAGCAGGAAGTATCCGTGCAGACAGCTCTCGCATTTCTCCCCGAAGCTGTTGTTCTGGCAGTTCACGCAGACGGCCACATCCTCGGCGGGTCCCTCCGCCACCCACTTGGGGATCTGTAAAGGAGGCGAAGGGGTCAGGAACGGAGGCGGGCAGACCGGCGCCACGCCCCTCCCTGCTCCCGCTGCCCTGCGATCAGTCACAGCTCCCAAGGCTACGATACAGTTGCCTCTGGCTCCAAGAACGTGACGCAAAAGTCAGGACTACCTGCCTTGGGAACAGCCGATTATTCACTATAGTAATGGTACAGCTGGCGACCCACGTGCGTGGGTCAACTGCTGTCAAGTCGCAGCCGGCTTACGGCGACCCCAGCAAGGGTCTTTCGAGGCAAGGGAGAAGGCAGAGGTGGTCAGCCAAGGCCTGCCTCTGCAGAGGTTTCCTTGGTGGTCTCCCTTCCGAGTGTCGATCCTGCTTAGCTTCTAAGACCTGATGAGATCGGTCCAGACCTGCGATCCACTCACAGCCCCCAGTTACATTAAGGCTCTCCAGCATTCCCTTTTAAGAGAGAGCCAGAGGGAGGAAGAGGGTCTTCCTAGTCCTCACGGGTGCAGAGATGTTTGACAACATACATGGGAAAAGAGCAAGAGGTCCAGTACCACCATTAAGACGAATGAAACTGGTGGCAGGGGAGGAGCTTTCCTGAGTCACGGCTCACTCCTTCCGATATCTGAAGAGAGATGTCTGAAGAAGTGAGCGGTGACTCACGGCGGGAGCTCATCCCCGGCCACCATGTTTCTTAGTCTTCATGGTGCTCCTGGACTCTTGGCTCTTCTCACCCGCCCACCCAGCTCAGGGCAAGAGCCACTCAGTGCCTGTCACACCCGGATCTCGGGCGGCCACCCTCACGGCAGCTCACACCAACTCGGTGAAGCAGCGCGGGCAATTCCCACCCAGCTTGCGTGAAGAAGAAGAGATTGGATTTATACCTGGCCCTTCACTCCGAGTCTCAGAGCGGCTTACAGCCAGTTTGGTGTGTCGTGGTTAAGTGCGCCGACCCTAATCTGGGAGAACCGGGTTTGATTCCCCACTCCTCCTCCACTTGCACCTGGCTGGATGACCTTGGGCAAGCTGTAGCTCTGATGAGAGCTGTTCTTGAAAAAGGGCAGGTTTCTGTCAAGAGCTCTCTCAGCCCCGCCTACCTCCCAGGGTGTCTGTTGTGGGGAGGGGAAGGGAGAGGAGTTTGTAAGCCTCTCTGAGACACCTTTGGGTAGTGAAGGGCGGGGTACAAATCCAATCTCTTCTTCTTCCCCTTCCCCTCACCGCAGCAAACACCCTGTGAGGTCGGTGGGGCTGAGGGAGCTCTTTCGAGGACTGCTCCTGAGAGAACAGCTCTGAGAGAACTTGTGACTGACACAAGGTCACACCATTAGCTGCATGTGGAGGAGTGGGGAATCAAACCCTGTTCTTCCAGATCAGAGTCCATGCTCCTGACCACGACACCAAAGTGGCTCTCGTCAGACAAAGGCTACCCCTTGCTTGGCCCCAGTCGGGGAAAGCAAAGACATGACTGTGTGTTGGGGGGGAGGGGAGAGACTCCAGGGGTCCCCGAACCACCGCTGACGTCGCGGCCGCCCGCGCATCTCTCGGCAACTCACCAAGGCCGGGTCCAGCGGGTAGCGGGCGGGGTCCCGGCGGGCTCGCTCGTACTCCTCCTGCGTGATGCAGACGTTGCTGTTGCCCCGGCAGAAGGCGTGGCAGGGGCGGCAGGAGCCCCCGTTCAAGGCGGAGCCCACAAAGAGCGGCTGGCACTTCTCACAGTGTTCTCCCTGAGAGGAGGCGAGGGGGCCGGGTTGAAGAGGCTGGCAGTGAAGGGGGGGGGAGGGCGCCGCGGGGAGGCGGAACACGCAGGCAGGGACTGGTGGAACACCCTCCGTTTTCCCAGAAGCCGTGACAAGCAGGTCGAACAGTCTGCAGGCGTGGAGTCTCGAGAGGTAAAGTTTGCTGCGTCAAGGGCTAGATCTTTCTCAGTGGCGGCCCCTACCTGGTGGAATGAGCTCCTGGAGGAGATCAGGGCCCTGCGGGACCTTATGCAGTTCCGCAGGGCCTGCAAGACGGAGCTCTTCCACCAGGCTTTTACGTAGGGGCCGCCGCTGCCACCACTACCATCAACGGTGGCAATACCATTGAGATTGGGAATCGCCCTTGATAGCTTAGCGGCAATGAGAACTACGCGGCAATGAGAGCAGCGAACTGGCTCGAACCATCTACTGGATAGTGGTACCCCAATGGGCTGCTGGAAGATACCATCATAACAACTTAACACCATCTTGATAATGCAAGCACTTTATTGTTGATAATAATGTATTGGTTGATTTTATTGTTTTATTAGATTTTATGTATGGGCCTGTGCCCCTTGTAAGCCGCCCTGAGCCCGCTCGCGGGGAGGGCGGGGTAAAAATGCTTACATAAAATAAATAAATAAATCCGCAGGGCGACATGCTAAAAAGGGGTGGCAAAAAGAGCCCCGAG